ACGGCGACGAGCTTTTACTCTTTCATGCTAGCTGTCTGACGTGGGTCGGTGAGGAACTCTGACCTGGACTGTACTCATTCCAGGGCCCAGGCCGACAGAGCAAGTAGTCCCTGGGGCCCGCAGTAGATGCTACTCGTAAAGCTTTTGCCTGGTAAACACTGCGATTGAGTCCAATCGACTCATAATGACTCTCCACCAACTTCCAAGGCCATAAATCTTTACCAGAAGAGACTGCCCGTCTTCCTCCCGTGCATCAGCTGGTGGGTTCGAACTGCCTACCTTTTGATTAGCAGTCAACCTGTTATAAACTGCACCACCAGGTCTCCACAGAGCAACACAAAAAAATGTTATTCACAGCCCACAGGGAAAAAGCAAGTCACCTGTTCAAATCTCCCATCACAGGGAAGACAAGTAGAGTCCTGTGTGACTCCCAGCAGAGAAAATGCCAAAACCTTTACAAATAACCAAAAACCTGATTCAAACCTATGACCAGAGAGTCAATGCCCATGCATGGCTACCCACGTGTGTCAGAGCAGATCTCTGCTCCAGGGAGTTTGTAATGACGGGCTTCTCAGAGCTGATCACCAGCCCTTTCCTCCGATGCACTGAAATAACCTCCAACCTTTCAGTTTGCAGCCAAGGATGCTGGCTGTCTGCACCACCCAGAGACTTTCCAAGGTGATTACAGAGAGTGGAAAAGGAAGAAAAGGACGCAAGAGGGAGGCACTGAGGAGTGTAAACCTTTTTTTCTTTTTTTTAAATAACTGTTTTTTTTTAAAGGGAGCCATTGTTGATGTTACATCAACTCAACTCATTGCTATTAGGTGAGAACCAACTCCTAGTTGACTCTAACTGGTTTTTTTGTTTTTAAAGATTTATTTTATTCTTTTGTGTGTGTACCATCAAACTGAGAGTGGGGTGGAGGTCCCCAATTAAAACAAGCTTGGAAGGAGGAGTGAGTGGCATCCACTTCCATAATAGCTTGCCTCCAGAAACCCTATGAACCTGGAGAGAGGATGAAATGCACCCAAGCGTCGAGGACTCTCCTTCATAGGGTCACTATGAGTCTCCTGCAACTCGACGGCACTTAACAACAAACAACAACAACCATCAAAATGGATCTAACTGGTACAGGAGGAGATTGTCCCTCCTTCTCCAGCAGAGCATCTGGTGGATTTGAACCATGAGCCTCTGGGATTGCAATGCAGCTTCTTGACCCTACGCCGCAGAGCTCCCTGGAGTGTAAACCCTTAACAGGTTCAGCTGCTGACCTAAAAAAACTAGTGGTTCATGTTCACCCAACCTAAAAAAACTAGTGGTTCATGTTCACCCAGAGGTGCCTCAGAAGAAAGGCCTGGCAATCAACTTGTGCAACTGTCAGCTACTGAAAACCCTGTGAAGCACAGTTCTCCTCTGACACATGAATTGGCTCGACTCGACTCTGATGATGAATAGCTGCTTAGTGGTTAGGGGAAAGAGGAGCAGAGGGCAGGGGAGAGCGGAGAGGAGAGGAAGGGGAGCTTAGAAGGAAGAGAGGAAGGAACACAAAATGCCCAGCTGGCCTAGAGTAAGGTGTTGTGCTGCCAAACCCAAAGGTACACGGTTTGAGTCCTCTCGCTGCTCCACAGGAGAAGGATAGGCAATCTCTTCCTGCTTCACAGCTTCTCAAAACCCACTGGAAGGTCAGTTATTAGTTAATTCTGAGTATATAACAACGTAATCTCAAGGTCAGGCTGTCCTCTAAAGACGCCCTGAAGGAATAGTCGGCAAGTGAGCTAACTGCTGCTCAGATGCCCGTAGGGAACAGCCCTGGCACGGTTCCTTATCTGACTCCGCCGGGGCAGGTAACCCAGGGCCCACCTGTCCTCCCTCCCGCACAAGGAGAGGTTGCCGGACAGCTGTGTGCTCCGTCTGCTGACACCTCGCCCGCCTCTGCTCGCTCCCCGAGGCCCTCTCAGTCTGGGAATCTCATTCCGCACCCCCGTCACATCGTGCAGGCAGCCCCATAAATAAGGCCTGGCTGCTTTATCGCTGGCGTCAGCACGAGTCTCGCCCGTGGGATGTCCTCTCCAGCACAGTCATATTTCAGAAAAGCCTGCACGGGAAGGGCGAGCAGGCCTGGAACAGGGCTGCTCCATGCAACGAGGGATCCCCTCCCTCTGAGAAAGGTCACAGGCTGGTACCAAAGTCTGGGACTAAAGTTTGATGGTCTTTATCCACTCCTTACGACAGGCAGCAGGGGTGCTGATGGCCTGTCTGTGGGAGACACAGGCCCTGTGAAAATGCTGTGTTCGAGCCGTGTAAAAGGAGCAATGGTAACGGGGGCTGGATGAGTCAGACGTCCATTCCAAAAGGAGAACTGTTTCCATCAATAACATCCTGTATATAAAACCTCCTGTATATAAAACTGTAACAATATATAAAACATATACAAAAACATATATATATA